TTGAAACTGATCAGTTTCAGCAGCGGCTGAATCTGGACGCCAGTTCCGACTTACATACAGATTCAACTTAAGAACAAACCTACAGTCCCTATCTTGTACGTAACCTGGGGACTGCCTGTATATCACGTCCACCACGTCCCCCATGCCCACAGAGCTGGTTACCTTGTCACTGAAGGCAATCAGGTTGGTCAGGCATGACTTGCCCTTGGTGAATCCATGTCGACTATTCCTGATCGCTTTCCTCTCTTCCAAGTGCTTCAAAATGGATTCCTTGAGGATCCCCTCCTTGATTTTTCCAAGGACTGAGGGGAGGATGACTCGTCTATTTTCTTTTCTTACTGCACATCGGGATGGTTTGTTCCTGTGCCTGGATTGTCGTCCTTCCCTTTTTTAAAAGATGGGCACTACATTTGCCTTTTTCCAGTTGTCCGGAACCTCCCCTGATCACCATGGCTTTTCAGAGATAATGACCAATGGCTCTGCAATCATATCAGCCCCATGGATTTGTGTATGTCCAGCTTTTCAAAATAGTTCTTAACCAGTTCTTTCTCCTCTGAGGTTTGCCCACCCCGTCCCATACCGTGCTACCTAGTGCAATAGTCTGGCAGCTGACCTCATCTGTGAAGACAGAGGCAAAAGCATTGAGTACTTCAGCTTTTCGCACATCATTAGTCACTCGGTTACCTCCTTCACTCTGTAAGGGTCCCACACCTTCTCTGACCACCTCCTATTGCTAACATGTCTGTAGAAACCTTTCTTGTTACTCTTCATATCCCAGACTAGTTGCAATTCCAATTGTGCTTTGGCCTTCCTGGTTACACCTTTGCATGCTTGATAAATCATATATATAGTAGCCCAAAGTCTGTGACTCTGTAAAGCTGAAATGTTGGCTGTTCCCTCTGCGCGACGCTGTTGCCTCCCGCCGCGGCGCTCGGCTGACTTCTGGGCCGTTCAGCCGGGCCGCTACGCGGGAGCAAGTGGCCGTTTGGGGTCTGCATAGAGGTGCTGCATGGGGAGTGCAGCCCCCAAATGGCCGCTTCCTCTCGTACAGCGGCCCAGCTGAGCGGCGCAGAAGTCAGCCGAGCGCCACGGCAGGAAGCAACAGCGCTGCCCACAGGAAACTGCCAGGGAGCGGGGCCTGGACGAGCATGTGTCTCTGACATCAGGAAAGGGCACCGAATTCAGAAGGAGGAAAGCAGAGCGGATGCAGAGGAGACAGAGAGGAGAACGGAGGAGGAGGAGGAGAGTGAGAGAGTAAGAGAGATGCAGCAGGAGGAGGAGAAGAGAAACACAGAGTGAGAGGTGGAAGGGGGAGAAGAGAAAGAGAGAGACGGAGAGAGAGGCAGGAGGTGGACGAGAGCTGAAAGAGAGAGAGAGAGGGCGAGGCAGTAGGAGAAGAGAGAGAGGCCGTTTGTGCTGCTTGCTCCCGCACGGCAGCCCAGCTGAGCAGCACAGAAGTCATCCAAACGCCACGGTGGGAGGCAAAGCGGTGATGTACATGCCCGTGGGGCGGGGCCTGGATGAGCGTGCATCTCCGATGGAGACAGAAGAGAGCGAAGAGTGAGAGGCAGGAGGGGGAGAAGAGAAAGAGAGAGGCGGAGAGAGAGGCAGAAGGTGGAGGAGAGCTGAGAGAGAGGGAGGCAGTAGGAGGAGGAGGAGGAGGAAGAGGAGAGAGAGTCCAGAAGCTCAGGAGACA